TATAGGCAGAAAATATATACTTTCTTACTACTTCTTCTCTCCTTAATAACATTCGATCTAACTTGTTAATCTACCCAATTTAAACTTAAATTGAAAGTTACTCATCAATTTTGAGTGGACAGGGGCCTATATGAATTCTCACCCTCCCCTATCTCTGAAGCAGTCCAGTCTCCTCCCGTGGTAAAATACAACCCTCTCCTGACTTTCTACTTTATCACTTTTACTTTCTCTTCTCTGTTTAAGTGACATCCTGCATTCTACTGTTAATAAAAGGAAATGATTCTCTGATCTTTTCTCTCCCTATTCTCCCACATCAATTTAACCTATTCACATGGTTTCTATTCTCTAAGCATATATAATCCAAAAACCTCTCTCCCTAACCCCATTCATATGTGTATATTTGTATAAAACCACTTTTATGTCCCCCCCACGTCCTTCCACTTTCAACAGAAAACAGATCCCTGGATTTCCTATTTATGTTAATAACCTCACCATTTCCCCACTTCAGCGATTTTGAACCACTGTGCTACAAGAGGCATACTGGTGTGCCTCAAGAATTTTTAAGACATTCAATACCTGACTATTTAGTCAAGGGCACTGACCTCTTTTCCTTTAGATTGTCAAATTAAAAAATGACAACAGCCAGCACAACAATAACTGCCTGGTATGAATAAATCAAAATTATACCTATTTTTGTCAGACCAAGAAAATCCATATATTTTGGTGTGCCACAGAATTTTAGTAATCTTTGTATGCCATGAGACAAAAAAGGTTGAAAATTGCTGTCCCAGCTTTGCATACTGGAAACCAGTATCATACATAACAATTCCTTCTTTCTAATGGTCCTAATACATTCAGTTCCCAAATCCAGCAAATTCTACCTCCTATATTCCTACTGCCATTATTGTAATTCAGATCTCTACCATTTTTTGCATAGACTACTCCAAAGACCTCCTTAACCGTGTCGTCTTATAGTCCCCGTTGCTAAACTGATCTTTCAGAAGCACATCCCTAATCATGGTCCCTTGGTGAAAAACTGTTAGTGAGTTCTCACTGGCTCACAAAGTAAATACAAGCTTTGGTCAGAGAGGCACTCCAGGCTTTAGACCTCACCTCTCTTCCCATTTCACCTCCAACATACATATATGGCTGTCTGAAAAAAGTCCAGCCATTGTTAATATAATGAGAACAGTTTGCCTGACATCCATGTAACCTGGCAGCCAAGAAAGTGGACGGGAATGCACATGAGTGAACAATGACGACTTCACTGCACTAGTCGTTGGGGGGCAGTAGACACCGTTCATTGAGCACGTGTACTGTGTGGTATCTGCCATTCAAAAAGACTCAGTGAGTAGAGCAACAAACCTGCTTCAAATTTTGTGTTAAGTTTGAATGTTCCTCCACGAAAACTAGTTGGATGATTCTGAAGGCCACAGGTATGGGCAACCGGCAGCTTCATCATGACAACGTGCCTGCTTATGCATCACACATTTCATGCAGTTTTTTCCACAAAACTTTCTATCATCCAGGTGACTCAGCCCCCTACAGCCCAGATTTGGCACCCTGTGACTTCTAACTTTTCCCAAAATTAAAATCAGCTTTGAAAGGGAAGAGATTTCAGATTGTCAATGCGATTCAGGGAAATATGACAGGGCAGCTGGTGGTGACTAGAACTGTGTGAGGTCCTAAGGTGCCTACTTCCAAGGGGACTGAAACACTGTCCTATGTATAATGTTTCTGGCATCTTTTTCAATAAATGTCTCTATTTTTCATATTACATGGTGGGATACATTCTGAACACAATATAGATATAGATAGATACAGATCTAGATATATAGATATATCAAGTAGCCTTCTCTCTGTTCCTGCAATAATCCCTTCATTTTACCACTTTTCACTTTGGGATTTATGAGGTTCCCTCTAACATGCCTCTACATAATCTATTCACCAAGTTTGCACCCATTCTTCAGAGCTGAACACAAATGCCATCTTCTCTGAAGCCATTTTCTCTGAAGCTCTCTCATACCTTCCCTGATGGATGCTGTCTCACTCCCTTCCTTAAAACCTTTTAGCATTTAATAAGTACTTCTGCGTCTTTGGGAATGTTCAGAATTTACTATCATGTGAAATTGCTTTTCCCTAAGATCCTGAGCTCTGAAATCTCCCTCTCCAATCAAATTTTCCTATTCTTCCTCCCCTCATTAAATCTATTCTGGGCTCATAATGATCTTTGATTTTTCACTAGCAGTAATCTTTGATTTAAGAAAATCTTCTCATTTACTGTATCTTACATTATGACCTGATCCACTCCCCCTCCCAAATCCCAAAGAAATTTTAACTTTAAGGATACCCACCTCCACCAGGATATTCCACAGACACTTTAAATTTAGAATGACCCAAACTGAATCATCTCCTCCCCCAAACTCACATCTCTGATGCTCTCTAAACTAACTAAAAATCTTGATTCCTCACTCATTACACACACCATCATTCACGAAGATATACTGAGACCACTCCTAAATCTACGAACTCTGTATCCCTAAATCATTGCCACTGAAGCCCTCATCACTGTTTACATAGCTGGTCTTTCGTGCTTCCAGCTGCTACTACTTCCAATTCATTTTCTAATGCAATAGTTAAATAATGTTTTTTAGATACACTGATCTAAAAGTGCCACAATGTCCAGCTTAAAAACCTTCCAGGACTCTGTATTTCCTGTAAGACAATGTCTAATATCCTGAGCATGGCATTCAATCCTATTATCTACCCAGTCTCCAAAAACAGGTCCTAATTAGGCAATGAAATACACTCTCTGCTTTCCTGCAATCACTATTCCATGGCTGTTGAAACAGTTTCCACTCAAGTCCAGCTCACCTATTCTGTGAAGACTTCATTACACACCTCACATCCCTCCCTCCCAAAAGTCTGAGTCACCTCCTCATCTGTATTTCCACAGTACTTTGTTCATGAAACTAACAGACCATTTATCACATTAAATTACACATATACTCATGGTCTTCCTCCTCCAGTTTGTGGGCTCTTTGAAACAAGCTTGTTTTGTTCATATTTTATCCACCATACCTAGTATGGCGTACAAAGAGAGTTCAATAAATGTTTGTGAAATAAATAAATCTAATTTCAGAATGCCCAAAATCAGTCTACCGTGGGTGATTTATCAAATAATCTAGGGTAGGAATGTAGAAGAGTACAGGTGGGTCCTATACAGGTAAAGTGAAATGAACAGGTGACTCCAGGATACTTGCAAAGGTCAGGGCAAGCTCAGAAGGGCCAGAGGGCATGCTTCCCTGCTTCGGCCACAGACAGGGAGCCAGACCAGAACAGCAGGACTGCAGGGAAGAGGCAACCAAGACAGCAGAGAACTGCAGGGAGTGAGGGGGAAGAAGAAATCAATAGGGAAAAATAAAACTCCTAAACACGCTACAAAAAGGAGGTGTCTAGGGTCACAAATTACAAGCTCAGGCCTTGCTCATCACCATCCCTGTTTTCACTGCCCTCACCTACAGCAACCATCTGCTGATCACTTACCTATCAGCTGCTGGACACTATGCTGAAAACTACCACAGAGATCACTCAATGTTCATGACAACCCTATCATGAAGGTATTATCTACATTTTAGAGACAATAAAACAAACCTATAAACAATTAACTATATTGTCCACAGTTTCATAGCTAATATGTTAAGTCACAGAGCCAGAACGTGAAAAAAACGGCCAGGCTTCAAAACTCATTCTCTGTCTGCTCTACTATCCATGCGCCAGGGGCGTAAAGAAGGCGGGGACTGGCTTTACCGCTCTGCAGTACTTAGTTATCTTTGTGAGCACTCGTCTTACCTTCTTCAGCACTAGGAAGGTATTTCTGAGAGTACAGTCCATGTCTAATATGTTTTATTTCTTCCCTAGCATCTCATAATGATTTTTCTGTATAGAAATCACTCAGTTTTTCATTACTTTCTTATTATATCTCATTACTGGTAGAAAGAAAATAAGGTTTATCAGTCTTTAGTTGGCACTAAGCCAAATACAAAAAAAGATGACGTAGTTCCTTGGACTACAACATGTGCTGGGGTAAAGCCTTTACAGCATTAACTGTGGTAAGCCCTAAAACACAGACCGCAGCTATAAAATTAAGGATGATCTGGTATAAAAATAAAAACGCTGTCTAAGATATACGGCTCTTTTGTTTAGATGAGAGTATAAAGATAATAATTACTATATGAGTTAGCATAGATTAAGCACATGAATAACTTACTTAAATGTGGAAATAAATATGCTGTAATTAATAGTCAAACTGCTTTTATTTCTCTTATAGAAAGGTATAAAAACATGTGAGAATAGACTTATTTATGTCTTCCACACGGGTTGAGGTCTAAAGTCAATGTCAGTACACAATGCAAAAGTCAACCAGAAATAAGATAATCCTTGAAAATTCCTTAAATCATCCTTGAATCACAGCATAATACAGCATCAGCGCTCAGTAACGCCATCTCGACAGTTTTTCCTCCTACGCATAACACACAGACCGCCATTTCTGCTGCAGTGCGCCAGCCACCTGAAGTATCTGGCCCGTGTCTAGAGCCCATACCGAATGAAAGAGCATACATTCACGCACTGGAACCATATCTGGCACTGGGAGATACTTACACTGTATCAGTTCCTGTAGCAGGTATTAGGAATCAATTTCATCTGAGAGAACAGCACGGTCCCATCTTTCATGGCATGTTTGCTAGCATATGTTCATTGTGAAAAAGGAGCAAGAATTACTAGTGACTTTAAAATTATTTAGTGTTTTGCTTTTGGGTGTTGTGGTTTTAGTTCTGGTTTTTGTCTTCAGCCCAGATATATGAATGTGAATAAATTATATTCCCAGAAATATGACTCTACTGTATGTGCTATTTATTGTGCAACCACAGATGCCTACACTGATGCATAAATAATCTAATACTACGGTGTAGTCTAAAAATACAAACAACCTATCTTACCTTCATCTAGGGATGCTTCACTACTGTATCCATCATACTCTGCAGATAGAGGACTATATTTTTGTCTCGTTTCCCAAGTATAATTCTGTTGTCTAGAATCGGCCAGTGGGAATCTGGAATTGTGTGTTCGGGATAAGGCCTCATGGTATTTACCCAATGCTTCATCTTCACTTTCAGAGGATGAACCATGCTCATCTTTGTCCATGTAGGAATTATCTATTTGCAATGAGAAGGAGAACAAATAAAAATTTTAATACAATGAATGATGATGAATTTGTTACAGTTTTATATATATATAACATACACACACATCATATATATCCATATATACATATACAAATATATATAAACACACATATACAAATACACAATCTGAATTTTCAGTTTCATAAAAGTATAATTTTTCCACTTAAAAAGCCCAAGATTTATATTTTATGTATTAACAGAAAAAGACTGATCTATATACTCTAATTACATAAATATTGTTAGTCACAGGGATCTTCCTACAATGTTACACATAAAGAAGATGACAGGGCTTGCCATCTTACATAATTTTTTTTACAGCATCAGTAGTACACAAAAGATGTTATAAGTATTGCCAAAACATATGGACCTGACTCAAATAATGCATGTTACGAAAGACATTCATTATCAGCTTAGCCAAAATTTTTAGAAGTGACAACTCCTAGTGCTAGCAATGAAAAAGAAATGGGCAGACATATACAGAGGTGGGCAAAACTAGGTTTACAGTTGTGAAAGCACAAAACAGTTTATTCATAAATATTACTTATTAATCATATTATTTACTTGTACTGCAACTGTAAACTGACTTTTGCCTACCTCTCTATTAGTGGTGAAATAGTAACTGGTAAAACTTTTCTAGAGAGCAGTTTGGTATATATATATATATTAAGCTTTTAAATCTGCATAGTGTTTAATCCATTTCTAAGAATTTACCAATTCCATTTCTAAGAATTCAGTCTAAGAAAATAACAGGTGAGCAAAGATATATATTTGAGACAATTCACTGCATTGTGTTTAACAGCAAAAGAAAACAAAAATAAAATAAAAACCTAAACATACACCACTGGGCCCTGGTTAAGTAAATTATGATGTATCGATGCAACAATATACTATGCCGTCTTTAAAAGTGAGGTGAACTCACTAGTACTTACAGGGAAAGGGTAACTGTAACATTATGTTGAGAGAAAAGAGAAAGTTATAAAATAAAAGGTATATTTATGGTCTCATTTTAAAAATACACACACACACACACACCCCTACATGCAATATATACACACTACATGCAGTATATACTTACATACACACATAAAAATGTATGGAAAGATACACAACAAACTTAGCAGATCTGTAAGTGGTGAAATTACTAGGAAAATTTTCCTTACATATACCTGTATTTCACATAAAATTTTTAAGTGGTATAACTTTATTATTTTTTAAAATATAAGTTATTAACTTTTAAAAAGGTAAAATTTTTGAAACTTCAACATACTGAGATATATTTAAATCAAGATGCAACCTCTTAGAATAGAAATCAACTCCAGAAGGATGAAGAGACACAGCAGGTAGAATTTATGACTTCAGTCTAGATACTTTTCTCTTTACACTCAGTTGAGATCATCTGTACTAAAGAAATCAAGGTTTGAAATTCAAGTGGGGAGATGCAGAACGAGTAATTTTACAATAAGGGATAAAAATTCAATCTTTAGAGTTAGAGGTAAGGGTACTTGGGTGACAGAACTCTAAGTCCCACATTTCAATTCAGTAAAATAGTCATAAAATGGTAAAAACTATCACCAATGTCATATTTTACATTGCCTAATCTATAATTACTAGCAACATACAGCTACTTAAACAATAAAAAATAATAAACTTTAAAGTGTAGTTCCCCAGTGCTACTAGCCACATTTCAAGTGCTCAATCACCATGTGTGGTTAGTGGTTCTTATACCAAGTAATATAGATATGCCAGACTTTCCCACCACTGCAGGAAGTTCTACTGGATGGTAATGAGATGACATCAGATCTGGTCTAGAACCTAGGCATCTGACTCTCAGTTCAAGAGTTTCAGCACTTCGGGGGATACCATGGCAGTGGTCTTCAGGCAGCAGGAGAGCACTGTGGACAATAACTAGAAATTCCACAGTCACACTTCACCTATTGCAAAACACTGCCTGACGTAGCCCTGCACTCAGAGAGAGAAAAGGAAACTCTTCCTCCTCGTTCTGTATCTGATAAGCTCTATGTCAGAACCAGGAACACAAGAACTAGTAATACCACAGTTGAGTATGTGAAAGGATAATGCATGGGTCAATAATTTTTTAAATGATTTTTAGAACATAACATGTTTACATTTAGTATTGTCTATAATCTTAAATACTTGAGAGGTACTTGGTTTCTTTAGGTACCAGCATGCTTCTTAATGAAAACAAATCAAAACAAAATTAAAAATTCTGTCCTGCTATTTGTGAAGTATTTATTACTAGTATGAACTCTACTGTTATTTTCTGAATAAACTAATTTGTAAACTACTCTACTTAATTTTTATTTCTTTATTTCTGCTACTTCAAGTAATAACAAGGGTACCAAAAACATATGAATCTGACATTTAGGCTGCTCGCAGAGTAGATTCCAAAAGGGACAAAGAATTGATCTTTGGTATCCACAGGGGATTGATTCTAGAACCTTCTGCAGATACAAAACTCAAAGGATGCTCAAGTCCTTTATGTACACGCTCCTGTGTTCTTTAAATCATCTCTAGATTACTTCTAATACCTAATGCAATGTAAATGCTATCTATGTAAGAGGGGTGGGTGTCCAACCTTTTGGCATCTCTGGCCACAGTGGAAGAAGAGTTGTCTTTGGCCACACATTAAATACACAAACGCTAATGAAAACTGATGAGCAAAATAAGATTTTAAGTAAATTTATGATTTTATGTTGGGCCACATTCATAGCCATCCTGGGTCTTATGTGGCCCACAGGTCACAGATTGGACACCCCGGTAGAGAACAACGAGAAGAAAAAAAGGTTTGTACATGTTCAGCACAGATGCAACAATCATAAGCCTAGCTATATGGTACATGTCAGTGACAACGTAACACTTTACAAATATATATATGTATTTATTGTTATTCAAGTTTTTTATTATCTGGACTAAGTATTGTAAGTTTATATCTTTCAAGAAATTATTTTTACTTCATCTAAATTATAAATTCTGGAATAATGCTATTTTCTGATTTGTGGTTGGCTGAATCTGTGGTTACAGAATTCATAGATATGGAGAGCTGACAGTATTTCCAAAAACTGGTGTTCCTTTTGAGTTAGCTCATTCATCCTGGATCAGCCTCTATTATATCACTTAAATAACATTCATATAATTGATAATACCAGATCCCTATTCTGTATAAAGTCATGTAGCAGAACTGAAAAGTCTTCCTCATTCCTAATATTACTATTTTCTTTTTTATAAGAATCTCAATTTATAGAAAAGTTCCAGATACATATTTTTATGTATTTTTGTGCATATTGTATGTAAAGCCAGTGTATTTTTGGCCTTGTGATCAGATCAGCAGTAAATGGAAATGATTAAGGTATTACCAGAAATAATTACTAATAATATGAAGCTATTCTGCAACCCAAACCAAGTAACTGTTAACTAATTGTTCTGAAAATTGTTACAAATGTTGTAGTTGAAAATTGTAAATCCTTAGCTGGATCTTAATGCTATACACAGAGCTCAGGAATAGTACTACATTGTTCATGTGTACTCACTTCAGACACAGAACTGTCATGTAATTCTTAATGTACGGCTAAATGAACAGACACACAGCCTGAAGCATGTTACTTAATAAAATAAAATCTACTGCTCTCAAGAGAAAATATAAAACACTTGATTTACGTCCTTACTGGGATAGACCTGAAGAGGAACAGTGTACGAAGGACTTAGGGGTTAGTTGCAAAAATATAAAATTTTAAAATGCAACTATAGCACACCAAATAAACTCCAAGTAAAGGATGCACACTACTTAAGAAAAGCATGGAGTTTTTGGTTTAAAATAAACAGACATTAAGAAAAATTAAGGCTGCTGAAAAATATGCCAAATAATGAAAAGACCGGGGCAATACTTAGCTTAGAGGTATACAAATAGCATCAATACTCTTGAAATGATGCAAGGGAAAAAATGAATGACTTTAAAAATGTCTCCCAGTAAGAAGATTCAAGAAAGTTCAAAACAGATATACAGGCATGCATAGGAAAGTTCAGAAATGTGGATTGTATTTTCCTAATTTCAAAAATCAAGAGAAATTTTATCACTCAAACCCACATTAGGAGACCTCACCTTTTCCTGGTTTTATCTTAGAATATTTTTCATCTTTATTCTTTGCTGTTCCTTTTTTGGCAGAAATGGCTTCATTTTTCTTTGTTTTTATGTCTCCTTTCACTTTGTAGCATTTTGTTGGATTTACTCGTTCTTTGACTTTTGGAAAGCATTCATTTCCTGCACACTCGTTCCCTTTGGGCCCTTTACTTTTAATATGTTTTTCAGCTTTCTTTAAATGATTTTCTTTCATTTCTTGATACCTTACTTCCTTTAAATCATTCTCACCATTACTAGAAATTCCTAATCCAACGTTTTTGTATCTATCAGTACGTCCAAGTTCTTGACCAGCAGACCCTGCCTTTGCATTCTGCTTCCTAAGTGATATCCCAGCATCACTCACATGGCCTTCCAAAGAATTACCAGCACTGCTGGTCTCTAGATACTCTGATACTGTCCGTTGCCTGTCATCAATATGTTTAAGTACTCTTTCTTCACTCACTCCTTGACCTGGCCTCTGTGAAACTGAAGTACTGTAATAATCTCTTTGATCTGCTCTGTGCTCTGAATTGGATGGTGTTTTCTGACAATTCATGTCTTTGGAGACTTCTGGTAATGTGGTATTTTCTTGTTTAAAACTATCTACAATTTCTGCTGCTGAAGAGCTTTCCTCTTCTGGGCGAAAGCCATTCATCATGCTTGTTACCTGTTCAGTAACCACATCAGATAAAGTACAGCCGACCTCCCCAACAGCAGCGGTCAGATCTTCTACAGCATTACTGATTGTGTCCACCAGAGAGGACACCGAAGGCAGATTCCGCTGAAAACTTCTGAAAAATGCCATTTTCTATTTCTTTGTCCCTACAAGGTGCAATAAGGAAATTTTCTCTTCTCAAAATATCAACCACTTTGGAATCTCAATTTAACATTTACCAATGTTGTTACTCATGAGCTTGATATTAGTATTTCATATTGTGGCTTTTTAAATCTTTTTGTAAATGCATTATGCATTGGAAGAAACATGTCGAAGCAAACATTCTTCCGGAAAAAAAAAAATCAAACCACTTGCTTTAAATGTAATGACATTTTTTCCCACTCCATAGCTATCATAACAGCAGCAAGACAATATTTTCCCCTCAAATACTATTGGTTTTTAATTCTATACCTGCAAGAAGAAGTATAAAAAGGATTTTTATTATATACTTTTAGTTCATTTATTAATAAGGGAACTACCCTATCTTATTAACAAACTACCAGTATCATTTCAAATAAAGAAAAATATTATGGAGAAATATACATATCTCTTTACCTTATCTAATCTTACAACAATTCTAGGAGGTAAACATTTATTATTCCTATTTAGTAAGTGAAAGAAAAACAAGGCTCAGAAAAATTAAGAAGGCCCCTGAGACCTTTCCAATGGATCTTCAAGGTCAAAATTGTTTTCATAACACAAATAAGAAGATAGAGTATTTAGCTTTCCCACTTTCATTTGCTCACATATGAACACAGGAGTCTTCCAGAGACTTCATGAGAGACAAAATGAAGGAGATATGAGAACCCAGCTGTTTCTTTCTTCTACGCCAGTCATTAGAGATTTTCCAAAAATTTAAACAATGTCACTCTTCTCACCAATTTTTTAAACAAATACACTTTTTAATTAAAAATATTATTTATAGCCCTGGCTGGTGTAGCTCAGTGGATTGAGCGCGGACTGCGAATCAAAGTGTTGCAGGTTTGATTCCCAGTCAGGGCACATGCCTGGGTTGCAGGCCATGACCCCCAGCAATTGCACATTGATATGTGTCTCTCTCTCTCCCTCTCCCTCTCCCTCTCTCTCTCTAAAAATAAATAAATAAAAATTTTAAAAATATATTATTTATATTAGCATGTAACAGGCTTATTTTTTTAATAAATAAAGTATTTAAAATCTTTTTACATCTTCACAGCTTTAACTTCTAATACACTACATATCAACAGACACAACTCACAGACAGAAGCCCTCTGGGCTCCCCCATAATGTTTAACAGTGTAAAGGGGCCATCAGACCACAGAAACATCAGAGATGCTGAGCCAGAGAATCACTGGAGGCTGCCCAAAGAGCTATCTTTAGCCAGTTCATTCTAAACAAATGATCAAAAAGCAGGACTGAATTATGAGAAATAAATCAAACTACATAAAGTTCTATCGTTCACTAATGCAAGTCACAGATGTAATTCAATAACATATTTTTATAAACAATGAGGCTATCACTTTTTAAATTACAAGGAAAAACCATATGTACATAGACAAGACAAGCAAAGTTTCTCTGTTAGAGCTCCTCAAAACTCTTCTAAACCAATGCCTTTATAATGGTCAGGTTTCTTCTGTTATCATTTACATAATCCACTCATTGGAAATAGCAAAGAACTCAGTAATTTTTAAAAAAAAATCTCCAAGGAAAACTTTTCCATAAGAGTTTAGAGAGAACACAGAACCTCATCTCTCCTGGTACCGAGTAAGTTAATATAATGCCTGAGATGCAGGCCAGGGAAAAGAGCACTAATTTTTATACCTAGACTTTAACTGTACACTAAGTCACTTAAAAAAAAAATAACCTTCTCCAAACAATAAAATTATCCATCAGCTGAGATTTCAACAGCAGGTAAAGGAAAGGGTGAATACTTGCAAAAGCCTTCTAGGCACATGGGGGAAGCTAACTAGAGAGTTATCTGGATAAGAGATTTAAGGTATATAAAGTAATAAGATACTCCCTTCTTCTTAAAGCATATGTATTTGTATTATATTCTAAAGAGTAAATCTTATATATGAAAAATAAAAGTTACTTTGTAATAGTATCAATCTACCTTTATGCAATATATTAGCAATTTGTGGACAACAGAAAGACAACTGAACCTAAGATACTTAACAGTCTTTCACTCTCACAGACTAGTTCAAATGTTAGTTTACAGTGCATGTCAAAACCAAACTATTTATTATATATCAATAAAATAATAGGATAGTACAGACATAAAGAACAAACAAGAGAAGCAGTGATGGTACTTACAAATTTTATCTTGTGAGTTCCTCCTTGTACTGTATCCTGAACCAAGATCTGGAAACCCGCCAACATTTTCAAAACAGAACTTCTTATTAATATAGAGAAAAAGGAGCAGCATCAAGATAATAAACACCCCAACAGCTGACAAAAATCCAACTGCCTCTGGAGATACTAGAGAGAAAAAAGTCACAGCTGTAAGCATTTATTCCTCTTTAAGCTACAAATAAGAAGGAAACCCCCAGAGAAATGTTAGATTACTGTCTTATTTGAATTATATTTTTAAACTATCATAGTTCACAAGTGTTTAGTTTATAAGAAAAACAAAACTGCACAGTTTAATGAACTGTTCAATTCACTCAACAGCATTTATTCAACTCTTCTAAAAGTTTCCCTAGAAATTACATTGGGACAATCTTAAAAGACAAGAGTCTATAAATTAGGCGGTTTAATGTTTAGTTCATTGAAGAGTATTACAAAAATTTTAACACAAAGATTACAAAAAATATTTCCCACACACAAATATATTAATCAAATTTGTGAGAATGTATATAATTATTCTTTTTTTGATCCACATTCGAGGACATTTTTTAACTGCAGAGAGAGAGAGAGAAAAGAAAGAAAGAAACATCAATGTGGGAGAGAAACATAGATCGGCTGTTTTCTTGTACGTGCCCTGACAGGGGATCAAACCCACAACCTGGATACCTGCCCTGACCAGGAATCTAACCCACGATCTTTTGGTGTATGGGATGACACTCCAACCAACTGAGCCATACCAGCCAGGGCAATATATAAAGAATATATATATTCTATATATAAGGAATATATATCATTATTCTTATCTCTAAAAGCTTCAGTAGCCCTTTTTTATTAAATGATCTTTGGACTTAACCTGACATTCAAAACTCCAGCCTCTCTTTTTAATATTACACTCCAATCAAATGGTTCTACTCATTTCCTCAAAATCAGCTACATGTTATTACCACAAACCCTATTTTTTTTCAACCTCTTCCCCTTGCCTGGAAAGAGCAAGTCTCCTCTCTACCACATCCCACTCATCCACCCAACTAACCAACATCTTTGGAGCAGCAGCCATACACCAAACATTACCATATACACAGTTTCTGACTTCCAAGAACAGTCCAGTGAAAGCGGTTACAACATGGCATAACAGAGGCTATGACTGGGGAAGAACAAGGACTACGAGACCTACAGAAACACTTAATCCAGCGTTGAAAGTTCAAGTAAGCTTTTCTGAAAGCAGTGACCTCTATGATTATGTTTTAAGAATTAGTAAGAATTACCTGAGTTAATGCAATTGCAGGCAGAAAAAATACCACGTGCAAAGGTGCAGAGATAAGAGATCATTGTATATTCTAGAAACTCCATGAAACCTTGTTATACTGAACTATTGGATTCGAAGAATCTGATCTCAAAAAAACACATGAAATCAGCCCTGACCAAGCAGCTCAGTTGGTAAGAGCATCATCCTGATATGCCAAGGCTGTGGGTTCGATCACAAGGCAGGACAGCTGCAGGAAGCAACCAGTGAATGCACAAACAAGGGGAAGGACAAGCTAATGTTTCTCTCACTCTCTCTTCTTCCCTTCCTCTCTCTCTCTCTAAAATTAATCCATAAAACTTTTAAAAATTTTTATGTAAAAGAAAAGAAGACATGAAATCAGCCACAGAGATTTATTAGCATGAAAACATAAAATCTTCTCCAACTTCTTCAGTCCTCAGCAACCCCTCCTCTTTCCTTTCAGCATCTGCATTATTTGTCACTACAGCAATCATTTGGATTTAAGAGGAACTGAAGTTTCATATCCCCAGTGCCTTCAATATAATACTCAAATATTAGTTGAAAATAAAGCCTAAGCTCCAAATGCCCTCTACAACCTACTCTTTCTTCCTCCGCTGCTCAAATAGCAACTGAAATGTCATTTCCCCCAAGATTCTTTTCTTAATCAGAAGAGCCATGACACTTAGCATCTAACTCACTTTTTAAAATACAGTAACCAACCAGTCAGCGATGAGTGCTTTAATCTCCTAGATTTTCTTTATTTGTAAAAGCCAGGCATCCCAGGTGTAGAAGTGATATGACACTGTATGTATTCAAAGTTGGGCCAACAGTATCATCATAGAGGGTGGAGCAAAGAATGACAGTGTAAGAGAGAGACAATGAGGAGAGAGGGGAGGAGGTGACAAGAATGGTACAAGTGCTAAATGAATATCAGGCTGATGCTGAGGAACAGTTCTTGCTACCCAAACCAAGAAGACAATGATGCCCTGCCCCTCTCATTTCCAGGCTGAAAAAATATAAGGAAAGAGAACAGTATTTTAATAAAAGGATATAAAACTTATGACAAAAGCAGTGGTATATATCAACCCAAAAGGATGAGATAATGATGAAAACAAAGAATTATCAAGATTTCTAAAAGATAGGAAGGTTAGAAGCGAGACAGAACCTGGTATGAAGAGGCAAAATGCTCAATATACTTTGAAAAAGCAAAGTGCTCAATGTATCTATATTCAACATTATACTGTAAATAGCAAATATGTACAGAAGCTCCCCTTTGTCACTCAGAAATTTGATGCCTTAAGTGAACACACAGGGTTAGATAATATGCAGCCTGAAAATCTCCCACTTCTTAGAAAACTAAAAGAGAAAAAAATACAGCTCATCTCACTTAAGACGACTAGTTATTGATAATAAAAAATAGCAACAAACATACAGCATGTATTATGTGCTACTCACTGTTTTGAACACTTTACATATGCTAACTCTTTTAATCTTCACCATT